ATGATGATGATGATGTATGTTCGGGGCTGCATTGCAATATTGATTGTTCGGATCACCGGTATCTAAGTCTTCCGCTGTGCTATCTTATACCTTGTATTGAAAGGTCGGTTCTTGTTCTGGTCTGCACCTATACGGTATGCAACAGTTTGGTATYGGAGCGGACCTCTCATTCAGAGGACCCGCTCAATCAAGTAGCCAGCTTGCGATCTATTGATCACTCATTAGTAACGCAAGTAGGACTTAGTCAAATCTCTGAAAATTTTTTCCTTTTCTCGCAACAACTATCTGAAAATTTCTGATATTCGCATTTCGTTCTATCTGAAAATTTCTGATATTAGTAGTTCATTTTCATGTAACAAATATCTGAAAATTTCTGATAAATCGCATTTCGTTTTGTCTGAAAATTCCTGATAGTAGCATTTCGTTTCTCTGATATTTCGCAGACATAGCCGAAATTTCTGAAGTTAGTATTTCGTTTTSTAGGCATATTGGGATAAYGATAGAAGTGGTCRTATTCTCGGAAACCGAAATTATTCTTTTCTGAAAATCGAATTTCCATTCTATCTCGCAAATTTTTTTTTGAAAACCGAAATCTTGCGGAGCCTACCAACGTTCGGTAGGCATAGTCAGAGGTTGCCATATTCTCAGAAACTGCATTTCGTTCTTTTCGAAAATCGTATCTTTACTCTATTTCGCAATTTTTTTTTCAAAGATCGCATTTTAGTGAAAGCCGAAACTTTGCGGCACCCAGCCTAGATCTCGTTCATAATACTCTTCTGACATATCCTACTCATCATAGGTCGACATATATATGCAAAAAAAAAGAAAAAAGGAAGTAGTCCTCTTTTATTTTTTTATTTTATTTTATCTGTTGATTAGGGCCGGAGGAAAGTATTGTTGGGTTGGTTTCCTACCTGCGTGTTACCTCCCACCCACCCTTCGCATACATTTTCCGGGTTGGTACAGTAACACGTCAACAGTGCCACATCAACAATGACACGTCAGCTACAGTGACACGTCAACAGTGCCACGTCAGACACAGTGCCACGTAAGCAGTGCCACGTCAGACACAATGCCACGTCAGCAGTGCCACGTCAGCAGTGCCACATCAGACACAGTGCCATGTCAGCAGTGCCACGTCAGACACAGTGCCATGTCAGCAGTGCCCCGCCACCATGACGGGCGCAGCTCTGGGCATGTCAGGCCAACTGGCCAACGAGTCCATTGCTGACTACAAAAGCGCTTCCAGGCTCAGCTCGCTGCAATCGAGGCTGAGGAACAACGCCAGCTGGCAGTCAAGGCTGCCCAGCTACAGGCTGAAGAAGCGGCAACAGTAGAGAAGCTGCAGCTACAGGCTGAAGCAGACGCAGATACCCAGGCTCGCCATAAGGAAGCCCAGGATCTGCTGCTGCGGCATGAAGCCAACAGCATCGACAGACTCAAGTTCTGGCACTTTGAACCGAACGGCGACGAACCAACACCGGAAGAGAAGCATAAGGAGTTAGTGGCCAAGCTCGTGACCAGGCTGGTTTACACATGTAACCACCTGCAGTCCGAGCTGGCAAACCTTCAGCGGGCTGTGCGGAACCATAAGACTCAACATGAGGATGCCACACGGGCACTGGACGCCCGTGTACTGGACCTGGAACAGGCTGTACCAGGACCAGCTGCTGGGGCTTCCAGCAGTGCATCCTCTAGCCGCCAACTGGAGGAACGCGTTGACCACGTAGTGGCAATGCTAGGAGACATAAGTGCCTTCACAGAGCCGGCCACCATCAGCCAGCGGTTCGAGTTGCTGGACACTAAGATCAGTCAGCAACAGCAGACCGACCACAGCCACAACAACAGCTCGACAAGGCCATACAAGATGCCGACATTCCAGATCGAGAAATTTGATGACTACACACATCAAGACCCGGTCGTCTGGTGGCAAGGATTTACAACGGAGTTGGGGATCCACGAGGTCCCTGACCATCTGTTCATCAGTGCTCTGTTCATCAACACCAAGGGAGGATGTCAGATCTGGCTCAGCCACATGGCAACCATCCACGGTGTCCAGGTTTCAGACCTACACAAGAAGGTCTCCTGGGCGGATATGACAGAGGAATGGAAGAAGCGATTCATTGTGGATGACGCGCCTGCGCTCGCCATCAACCCCATCTTCGCGATGGCTCAAGGGAGCACACCGACACGTGACTGGCTCACGGATTGGCAGAAGATCGTGGCCACACCCGATCTGGACCTGCCATTTCCGCATTTGCGCCGTGACTCTACAACAGGTCATGCGCCGCTCCGAGCCTCGCACTTGGTGATCGCGAGCAGTACCACACTTTCGCAGAGATCATCAACAAGGCGAGAGAGATCATCAAGACCAACAGGTCAGCTGCACACGAGAAATCAACATGGCAGCCGACCTATGTGGAGAAGGCACGAACTGGTCCGCGACAGCAGCACTTCGCTGCAGTCCAATAGGATAGTGGAGATAACCCAACAGCCACTCCAGCATCAAGTGACGGAGATCAGGTGGCTGCTGTCCAGCCGCGAAGCAACAACAAGTCCCGCACCAACGGGAAGGCGAAATCCGCATCGCAGGCCGGAAATGGACAGCCAGTACAAGTTCCATGGGTCAAGTTCGGTTTGACCGAGGCGGAGTACAAAGTCCGCGGCCGCTACGGCAGCTGCTATTGGTGCAATAGCACCAAGCACAAGACCTCCCTGTGCCAGGATCAGGGCAAGGAGGATGTGCGACCCCGCCTCAGCTCGGGAAACTGAGCTCCGCGGAAGGTGAGGTGACTCCACCTTCCACTCCGCCGGATTCGGCCGCCTTGCTAGCAGCCTCCTGCACATCTGGGGAGGACGCGAATGTCGCAAGTTCTCGTTACTCTTACGAGGACTATGCTGTCTACTTGGTTCCACCGCTGGMCCAGCCGCTCCACGTGCAACAGTCCACCGCATGCACGKTTTCATCACCATCGGCAACCGATTCGGCACCTTCGCCGCAATCTATCGTCGGGGATTCGACGTCATGGTCAAGACTTGATGAGCTCGACCCGTTGACGTTCACGGACTTCCAGTGGATGCCCGTTCCCTCGACCGGACGATTGCCGAAACCGCATTGCAATGTGCTCATGGCACAACTACGGGACTACTTGCACACTGCAGTACCAGCTCCGTTGATGGACGACGGAGTAGAGGTTGTCAACCTTCACGAGTACATCGCGAAGATTGACCGCGAGTTCAAGACGCAACGGTATGACGAAATCGACGCACCATTGCTATACATACGCATTTAGATCGGTGAGGCGACCTGCAGTTCCTTGATCGATTGCGGAGCATCTCGCAACTACATCAGCCAGGACTTCATGGTGCGCGCCGGCCTTGGCCCACGTGTCCGGAGGAAGTCCCAGCCTACGCAAGTCACGTTGGCAGACGGTCATACGCACAAGTCAATCGACCGGTGCATTGACGCCGTCCCCGTGTACTTTGCCCCTCACGCAAGTGAGGCGGTGTCCTTTGACATTCTGGACACCAAATTTGACATGATCTTGGGCATGTCATGGCTGCGAAGCGAGGATCACCCGGTGAACTTCTTCAACCGCTCCGTTCACATTCGTGATCGGGACGGAGTACTAGTTCCATGCACGGTGCCTCTTCCTCATCCTTCTATCAACTGCCACATGGTATCCGCCGCAAGCATGCGAGCATCCATCATCAGAGACGACATCGAGGAGATGGGGGTATGTTTTCTCCACGCCCTCCCGCCCCGAGACGCTTCATGGACGGACTCATCTTCGGATCCACGCATCACCGAGCTGGACGCTTACAGCGACGTGATCGAAGGCCCGCACGTAGTAGTACCGGATCGGCCCATCCGCCACGAGATCATCCTCGAGGACGGGGCCGTACCTCCGCGCGGCTGCATCTATCGAATGAGCGAGGAAGAGTTAAGTGTGCTTCGGGCACAACTTGACGACCTTTTAGGGAAAGGTTGGATTCGGCCTAGCTCATCGCCATACGGTGCTCCTGTTCTCTTCGTCCGGAAGAAGAACAAGGATTTGCGGTTGTGCATCGATTATCGCAAGCTCAACGCGCAAACGATCAGGAACGCCGGCCCTCTCCCACGCATCGACGATCTTCTCGAGCGATTGGGCGGCGCCCAGTTCTTCTCTAAGTTGGATCTCAAGTTAGGGCACCACCAACTCGAGATTCGCAAGGAGGATCGCTACAAGACCGTGTTCAAGACTCGGTATGGGCATTTCGAATGGCTGGTCATGCCATTTGGCCTTACGAATGCCCCAACCACTTTCCAAGCAGCTATGACGACGGAGTTCCGACACATGCTGAATCGTTTCGTACTTATATACCTCGACGACATTCGGGTTTACAGCCGGAGTCTGGACGAGCATGTGGAACACCTGGGCACCGTTTTGGAGCGGCTACGACAAGCCAAGTACAAAGCAAACGCGACAAGTGCGAGTTCGCACAGCAGGAGCTGGTATACTTGGGACACTATGTGACGCCGCAAGGCATCCGTCCGCTTGCGAACAAGATCGAGGCCCTACGAGTATGGCCCGAGCCCACCAACACC